TTTTTACGTTTACGAACAGTCGCCCTGATTCGGCCTTACGTTTACGGTCACCTAAAAACTTTTCTGAGCTGCCTGAGGAAAAAAAACGACCAGAGCATCAGGAAGATTCCCTCCAAACTAGTTCTGTAACTCGCTATCTTGTTCGACGTCAACCTAGCAGCTCGTTCGCAACCTATCGTGTTTCTCTCTTACCAACCCGGTCAACACTGAATCTGAAACTTTCAGACTTGAAAGGCGCTCCATACGTAGTAAAGTCGCTATTCTATGCAGGTACACGACAAATTAGTGGTAGGATCTGGTACCCGTACACAATCCAGAAAAAAAAAAATATCACAGTAGTTTTTTTTTCCTGCCCGCCTCATACTTACGCGTAATTTTACGTTTCCGTTTACGTTTACGCTAAATTACACGAAATTTACGTTTACGAGACCTCAAAAAACGTAAGAGACCAACTTAGAGGCACAGTGCGCGTGCGTGTGTACAGAGCCGTGAATCACCTAGGCAAAGCTTACCATAACTGCAACGCTTGGCAATGAGAGAGAGGGCCACTTTACCTAGGCGGGTACCCGCCATGTGAACGGCAGAGTCTCTGAGTCTGCCTGCAGAGTCCCAGCAAAGTCTCTGCAGCGTCTCTTGGCTCTCCAGAAGGGAGAATTCCACTTCTTCCCCCCCATTCACTTCTGCATCATGTAATCCTACGTTTTGCACAACAATCCTCCTCCATGCCTGTTTATAGCAGCGAGGTGACATTTGAGTCGACTCAAAAGTCACCTGGTGTCCGCACAACACTCCTCCTCCATGCCTGTTGTTAATGGCAGCTCTACCTCTTCTCCTGCCCCTGCTGCCGCTGCCGTCCCTGCACCCCTGATGCTACCCTTCCTCCATGTCTTCTCCGTGCCTCCTGCCAGTGGCTCTCGCCTCTACCCCTACTCCTTCTCCTGCTTTTGCGTCCCTCGCCTCCCACTCCATCGATCTGTCTGTAACCCTTCTGCACCACACAGAAGACCCCTGAACTCCTCTACACATCTACTGCTCCCCCGCTGTGCCTGCTGGTGGCGGCTCTACCCCTGCCCCTGCTGCCCCTGGTGCCCCTGCTGCCCCTGCTGCCCCTACAGCCCCTATAGCGTCTCTGCCTTCCTTCTCCATTGCCCTGTGACCCTTCTGCCCGAGCGGAGTGCGAGAGAATGTGCTAGGGGGCAATGGCGAGAAAGACAGAGATGAGGATGGGGAGAGCGAGAGAGAAGGGCAGAAAGAGCGAGGGAGAGGAGGAGGGGGAGAAAGAAGGAGAAAGAGAGCGAGAGAGACAGGGAGTCAGAGGAAGCGAAAGAGAGAGCGAGAGAAAGGAGGCGGGGGATAAGATGGAGAGGGAGGAGTTAAGAAAAGCTACATTATCAAACTATGAAGCAAGGGGGGAGAATGAGGAGGGTCAGCAGCTTGTTAACTGGGCAGAGATAGTGCCAAAAAAAAGCAAACAAAAGAGCCTTCAAAACGATCGGAGCGAATGGGAGTGAGCAGCCAGGAGAAAGAAATAGGAAGCAGTCGACTCAAAAGTCCCCCTTCTCTCAAAAGTCAAGTGCACAAGGTCAGAGGAGAGCGAATGGGAGTGAGCAGCCAGGAGAAAGAAATAGGAAGCGCGGAAAAGAATGTGAGTCAGTAGAAAGAAGTGCACAAGGTCAGAGGAGAGTGCGCAAAGAGAAAAGGGGAGAACGAAATCAGGGGAAGGGAAATGTAAGGCGGAAGGGAACAGAGGCACGTTGAGGTGAAAGGAGGGCAGGAGGACATGGGGCCAGGGAGAGAGTGTGTCAAGGCAGTGGGGGAGTGGTGGTGGGGAGGATATTGCACGCGCACGGGCCCTCGGTCAGAGGAGGCGAGACTAATTCCCTGTAGGGCAGTGTGCACTGCTGATGCCGCCTCCACGTCCTGGTGAAGAGCGGGGAGGGAGGAAGGCATAAACAGGAGGGGAACGGAGGGGACGGAGCGGGTTGAGTGAGGCAAAGAGGGAGCGAGAATGATTCCCTGTAGGGCAGTGTGCACTGCTGATGCCGCCTCCACGAAGTCACTTTTGAGTCGACTCAAAAGTTCCCCTGCAGCAGCACTATGTGCACTGCTGATGTTGACTCAACGTCCTGGAGAAGAGCGGGTGCGAAAGGGGGGGGAAGGGGTGGAGGGAGGAAGAGCCAGGTGGGGAACGGAGGGGAAGGGAATGCAAGTGAGGGAAAGAAGACGCGAGCGTGATGCCTTGCTTTGCAGTGCCGTGTTCACTGCTGATGCTGCCTCAACGTCCGGATGAAGAGAGAGGGGGAGGGTTTGGAGGCAAGAAGAGACAGGAGGAAAAAGGAGGAAAAGGAGGAGGGTAAGAGAGGAGAAGAGGAGGCGTGAGTGATGTCCTGCAGTGCCGTGCGCACTGCTGATGCTGCCTCCACGTCCTGATGAAGAGCATGGGCGGTGGGGGAGAGGGGAGAGGCGGCTGAGAAAGGACATGAGGTGAGGAGCGGCTCGAGAAATAGGACAAATTCTCAGAAAACGATATCCTGGAAATACCCTAACAAAATACCCTAACAAAATACCCTAACAAAATATAGAAAATTGCAGTATTTAACTTTCCCAGTACTTCGGAGGATCAGGGAAATACACACTCACAACGAACTGAACAAAACAGCAAGTGCTCATTCCCTGTCGATGCAGCCTCAGCTGCACATAACCAGGCTGCCTGTAACGAGGACAAGAGGCCAGGGGGAGAGAACAGGGAAACAACGAAGCACAACGAATGAAGGTAACGGTCACATCACACTCCATCACACTTGAACTACTTGCCAGTGTCTTGATTTTTGGAGCATAGAAAAAAAAAAAAAGGAGAATCTTGAGGCGCCTCAGTGAAAAAGGCAGTGGCTACATTCCATCACACTTGAACACTACTGGTTTTTGAGAATTCTCAAAAACCACTTGAACACTACTGGTTTTTGAGAATTCTCAGAAACCACTTGAACACTACTGGTTTTTGAGAATTCTCAAAAACCACTTGAACACTACTGGTTTTTGAGAATTCTCAGAAACCACTTGAACACTACTGGTTTTTGAGAATTCTCAAAAACCACTTGAACACTACTGGTTTTTGAGAATTCTCAAAAACCACTTGAACACTACTGGTTTTTGAGAATTCTCAAAAACCACTTGAACACTACTGGTTTTTGAGAATTCTCAAAAACCACTTGAACACTACTGGTTTTTGAGAATTCTCAAAAACCACTTGAACACTACTGGTTTTTGAGAATTCTCAGAAACCACTTGAACACTACTGGTTTTTGAGAATTCTCAAAAACCACTTGAACACTACTGGTTTTTGAGAATTCTCAGAAACCACTTGAACACTACTGGTTTTTGAGAATTCTCAAAAACCACTTGAACACTACTGGTTTTTGAGAATTCTCAAAAACCACTTGAACACTACTGGTTTTTGAGAATTCTCAAAAACCACTTGAACACTACTGGTTTTTGAGAATTCTCAAAAACCACTTGAACACTACTGGTTTTTGAGAATTCTCAGAAACCACTTGAACACTACTGGTTTTTGAGAATTCTCAAAAACCACTTGAACACTACTGGTTTTTGAGAATTCTCAAAAACCACTTGAACACTACTGGTTTTTGAGAATTCTCAAAAACCACTTGAACACTACTGGTTTTTGAGAATTCTCAAAAACCACTTGAACACTACTTGCCAGGTGAAAGAAGGAGTGTTTTGAGACGTCTCAAAACACTCCTTCTTTCACGTGTCTTGAACCACTTGAAGGCTGTGGCTGGCTATAACCATGGCTGCTGTAAAGGGTAACACAAAGCGAAATCAATACCGAAGGCAATGAAGGCAGTAGTCACAATCCATCACACTAGAATTAATTGCCACCCTGACCGTAGGTCGTAGGTCGCTTCAGTAGTGTCTTCTGGCAGGGTACAACCTACAGCGAGGGTACTAGTGAAGCTGATTCATTCAAGGTGACTTTTGAGTCGACTCAAAAGTCATTCTGCTAGGGTACGACCTGCCAGGGTACGACCTGCCAGGGTACTACTGGAGCGGATTCAATAACGAGGTGAATGAAGACCGTGGTTACACTCCATCACACTAGAATAAATTGTATAAATTGCCAGTGCCTTCTGGCAGGGTACGACCTACGTACGGCCAGGGTTGACTTTTGAGTCGACTCAAAAGTCAACTTGCCAGTGTCTTCTGGCAGGGTACGACCTACGTACGGCCAGGGTACTACTGAAGCGACTTTTGAGGCGCCTCAAAAGCCAGGGTACTAGTGAAGCAGATTCAATAACGAGGCGAAGTTAGTATCTAAGCTTGGCTGGGGTAACAAGATTGTACAATTGTGAGTGAGAAGGTAAGGGACACTGTAATGAAGCAGATTCAGTAAGCTGATTGGCACTTGCAGACTGAACTGAAAGAAAGCAAAAACTGTGGCTATAAAGGGTTACACAAATGGGAAGAACAAGAAAATGAATCAGAAACTTGAAGCAAAGCAACGTGAGGACGTTAAAAACCAAAGCTCGAACAAATCAAGGCACTCACACGCTGAAAATCTGCAACAGCTCGGCTTCGCTCACTCCCGGGCCGAGGTTTCCGAGATAGAGCGTGTTGCAGGGGGGGTTGTCGCGGTATATCTGATAGAGGAAGTGGGGATACAGTGCGGCATATTGCGGTTCGATGTGGTGGTGGTGTGTGGTAACACCCCCCTCACTCCCGGGCCCAGGTTGCCGGGATAGAGGGTGTTGCAGGGGGGGCTGTCGCAGTATATCTGACTGGTAGAAGGATACAGTGCGGCATATTGCGGTACCATGCGGTGTTATTCTGGTGTGGTTGTGGTGTGGAAACACCCTCCTCACTTGCAGGCCAAGGTTCCCGAGACGAGATGGAGGGTGTTGCAGGGGGGAGGGTGTTGCGTTACATCTGAGGGGGCAAGAGGTAGAGTGCGGTATAATTAGGTATAAGGTGTGGTAAGAGCCTCACTCCCAGGCCCAGGGTGTTGCAGGGGGAGGAGGTTGCAGGGGGAGGAGGTTGCAGGGGGAGGAGGTTGCAGGGGGAGGAGGTTGCAGGGGGAGGAGGTTGCAGGGGGGGGAGGTTGCAGGGGGAGGAGGTTGCAGGGGGAGGAGGTTGTGGTATATCTGATCAAGTAGAGGGGTTATGTTGCGGCATAGTGCAGTATAATGCGGTGTTAATACGCTGTGGTTCTGCAACACCCAGTGGGGGTTGGAGTGGTATATTTGTTGGAAGGCAGGGAAAGGGGGGGGGAAGGGGTTGGGAGAGTAGAACAACAGCAACAAAGGAACACGGTCGCACAACACCGCACAGAACCGCACATCTCTACCCTACCTTCCCAGGCATGTCGGGCGGTGGGGCAGGGAGGGGAGAGCAGTCGTGGGGGCAGCAGGGGTGAGGAAGCAGCAGGGAATGGCGCAAGGGGGACAATAGGAAACCCTTAGGATCAGTGTAAGCATAACAACGCCTCTCAGAGTCCTCTCCTTGTACCTTTCCAGGCATGTCGGGCGGTGGGGCAGGGAGGGGAGGGAGGGGAGAGCAGTCGTGGGGGCAGCAGGGGAGGGGAGGCAGCAGGGAGGGAGGGAGGGAGGGAGGGGGACAGTAGAGACCTCTTCGCCTCAGTGCTTTTCTGAACCCTTACCTTTCCAGGCATGAGGTGACTTTTGAGTCGACTCAAGAGGCAGCAGGGAGGGAGGGAGGGAGGGGGACAGTAGATAACTCTTCGCCTCAGTGCAAACATCACTGTGTTTTTCTGAAGCCTCTCACCTTTCCAGGCATGCCCGAGGGCGGAGCAGGGAGGGGAGTGTACGTCTTGGGAGCAGCAGGGGGGGCAGCAGCAGGGAGGGGTGTGAAGGAGGAGGCATAAGCGTCATATGCTGCCGGCATGAAGCTGGGGTGGGAGGGCGGGGAGGAAGAGAGGGGAATCGGGGAGTTGGGAAGGAGAAAGGGGACAATGTATGGGCAAGGTGCAGGGGAGGCGGCATGGCTGGCTTGGCAACAGGGGAGGCAGCAGGGGAAGGGCCGGGGCGAAGGGGGGAAGGCGGAATTGGGTTGGGAGAAGGTAAAAGGGAGAGCAGGGAAAGCGGCGGGGGAAGCAGCAGGGATGCGTGTAGTGCGAAGGGGGAGGCATTAGGTGAGGAGGGAGAGTAACGGAGCAAGATCAAATTGGGTTAACAGAAGGAGGAAAAAGCGAGGGAGGAACCAGGGGAGGGAGGGAGAGTGGAGTTGAGGAGAAGGAGAAAAGGAAGAGGGAGAGGAAGCAAAGCAAGAAAGTCGCAAAATCTCCTTATTCCCCCTACCACCTCCCTCCCTCCTGCGCCCTCTGTCCTCCCCCCCTCCCACCCCACCTGCCAATAGCAGCAGAGCTGAGCATAAAGGCAGCCATCAGATCGATCCTCCTGCCCCTCTCCTCCCACGAACCCCATTCCCCCCATCCACCACCCCTCTTCACCCCTCCACACCCCTCACCTGCCCATAGCAGCAGCAGCAGCACCGGGCATATAAGCAGCCATTGGATCGACCCTCGAGCGCTTGGAGTGATCGTAGCCGTCAACCCCTTGTGTCCACCCCTCATGTTATTTTCCTCCTCTCCCCCTCCCCCTTTCCCCATCCACCCCTCACCTGCCCATAGCAGCAGCAGCAGCAGCACCGGGCATATAAGCAGCCATCGGATCCACCCTCGAGCGCTTGGAGTGGTCGTAGCCGTCACCTCCCCCAGGTAGACCTGCATGAGGAAGCGTGTGGGGAGAGAATATAGTAAGAGAGAGGAGTGGGGCAAGGGTGATCCTAACTCCATATGCGCTTGGAGTGGTCATAGCCGTCACCTCCCCCGGGTAGACCTGCATGAGAGAGAAGCGCGTGGGGAGAGGATCTAGTAAGAGAGAGAAAAGGGGCAAGAGAGATCCACCCTCGAGCGCTTGGAGTGGTCGTAGTCGTCACCTCCCCTGGGTAGACCTGCATGAGAGAGAAGCGCGTGGGGAGAGGATATAGTAAGAGGGAGGAAAGGGGCAAGAGAGATCCACCCTGGAGCGCTTGCACTGTAAAGCCTACACTCTGACTGTACACCCTAACCAAAGAACCCTAACCAAAGAACCCTACCCCTATCACTTTTCTGAGGATGTTTCGGCCTCTCGCATCGCTCGCTCGCCCACACCTTTTCATCTGCGGGTGGTTTGGTTCAGCTCCACTCTCAAACACGGAGTTCAAGTGTCGAACCCGCTCACGCAGATCCAGTCATATATGCAGATCAAATTCGATGTCTCTGATTGTCCTGCATGCCGCGTCTATGCCTCTCACCTTTCCGTCTGTGCAGATTGGTTTTCGCCAGCTCCACTCGCAGCACCGAGTTGTGATCCGCGTCGAATATGAGGCCCTGGGTGGGGAGGGAGGGAGGGAGGGAGGGGAGGGGAACAGTACACACATACACATGAAGGATCAATGAGGCAACGTCAGCAGCAGCAGCAGCTCCACTCGCAGCACCGAGTTGTGATCCGCGTCGAATATGAGGCCCTTGGAGGATTACACAGGCGGGGTGAGTGAGTGCACACAGATACATGCAGGAGCAATGGGGCAGCTTCAGCAGCGAGAGCTCTACACCCTGCCCAACTGCAGCGCGTCTCTAGCAGCGAATGCCATGGCATGGCAGGAATACTAAAAATCGCAAACCCAAGTGGCTGGTCGCCTCGAAGGCGAGCGAGCTGGCAGGCCTCGTAGTAGCCCAACCATCGCTACCTACCACCCATTTCACCCCACCCCACCACATTCCACCCCTCTCTCCAACCTTCCCAACTCACCTGCAGCGCGTCTCTAGCAGCAAACGCCATGGCAGGAGTACTGAAGATGGCAAACCCTAACAGGTGATCGCCCTTGAAGGTGAGCTGGCATGCCTCGTAGCCCAGCCACTCTCCTTCTCCCATCTACTTCTCCCCTCCCACCGCATCCCACCCACCCCACGCGCTCCACTCCTCTCTCCTACCTGAAGTGCGTCTCTAGCAGCAAACGCCATGGCAGGGGTGCTGAAGATGGCAAACCCTAATGGCTGATCTCCCTTGAAGGTGAGCTGGCACGCCTCGTAGCCCGGCCACCAGCGCAGCATGTTCTGCACCTCGCGCTCCTTGGCGTCTGGGGGAAATCCGGTTACAAATATCGTGCGAATCTGCTCCGCGAAATGTTACAAAAGTTTCGCGAATGAGAGGGGGAGATGGGGGAGAGGGGGGAATGGGTGGGAGAGGAAGCGGGGTGAGCTGGCATGCCTCGTAGCCCGGCCACCAGCGCAGCATGTTCTGCACCTCGCGCTCCTTGGCGTCTGGGAGAACCCTGTCACGAAGATCATGCGAATCTGGTTGGCGAAATGGGCGAAATGAGCAGAGTGGAAGGAAATGGAAACGACGGCGCAAGCTTCTAAACGACAGATAGACAAGGAGGGTGTTCGAATTTTGAGTAGATCCAGAAATCGACGTATCACACAAGGAGGGTGTTCGAACCGTTTCAGAACGGCGTACTACGATTAACCGCGCGAGAGACGGATCCGTCAGATTGTGGATGAATCCGTCAAGGGTGTACGAGATGCGTTAAGGGGGACTGATGCGGATTGTGCCGTCAGACTGACGTCAGACTTGACCGGGGACGATTCTGGGAAATCTCGAGGCAGCGAGTTAGCGCTGCGACGAAGGTAGATCGCGAAAACAAGTGCGACGACAAAATTTCGGTCAGGCGAAAGTGCGACGACAGGAGATCTCACCTCCTCGCCCTCGGAAGTCATGGGCCATTGGCCGGTGAAGAGCGGATTCGCCATTGACGAGGCACCGACGGGATTTTGAAACGGTAATTCCGAGTACCGGGGTATTATGGACGGAAGCTGGGAGCCGGGAAGCGCGGAAAGGAGGAAGACGTAGGGAAGAAGCGGCGAAACCTAAGTAAGACGAGACGCGCTGATGACACACCTAATGACCAAGGTGGTTGAAATTGGAACGAAGTTTTAGGTTTGCCTACGTACGCGGTATTGGCTTGCCCTGCGTCAAATACCAGTTTCTGCAGCTGTGCGTGTAGTATTCCCCCATAGAAGCCCCTTGGCTTTAGCTCTTTTGGCATTTCATCGTTGGCGGGGCTCCTAAGCATTTAAAATACTATGTTTCACACAAACGATTTTACAAATGCTTTTTTTTTTAAGAACGAAAAGTTTGAGGTTATAAATTGGATGTCTTCGCCCCTCTTGTTGGTGATTAGCCTGAGAAGAAAATGCCGAATGTCTATATATACATAAGGCTCAGTGAACAATGCTGCACGCAGTATGCAGGCAGATGCAAGGAAATCCTTCCACACTCTCCTCTGCCTTCCTCTTCGTCCCCCCCTCCACAGCCTCTGCCTTGGGTGCAGCAACTATGAAGACTCTCATAAGCAGGCCCTCAGATTGGTTTGAGGGTATGCTGATCGATCAGCGTGCCCCGGCCGCCCAGGTGTCCAAATCAGCGTTCATGTTTTTTTTTATACTGATTTTGCCAGTGTAAAAATCATATCGTAAGTAGACTGAACCATCAGTGTAAAAAAGAAAAACGAAGTTGAATCACCAATTCAACTCAAAGTTTGCCGCTGTGAGAGTTCCTTCCAGCGATGCAAAGCACGTCGGCACGCGATCTGCTGTACAGCGCATGGCATCTCCAAGTGTGCGGGTAGGGTCTCGTGAATCCCGAGCCAGGTACCGTATTCTCCCGGATAAAACACCCTAGGGTATTATGAAAACCACTGGGAAAAAATGGGGGGGGGTCTCCTCAAAGGAAAATCCTACATAATACCCGGGTCTTATTATATGGTATATTTTTTATCAAGTAGAAAAGATGTGAAACAAAATCAGGTGTCTGACTTCACTTCAAGATTGTTGACCAGTGCCGCAAAACCGAGTATACGAGGATAACGTGACCGCCCACTGTAATCTGTCACGTGGCATATTCGAGTGGGCAATTTTGGCACTTGATAGGGTGAAAACAAAGCCAATTGCGTGGCGAGGGTTCATGTCAGAATGTTATCTTATGCTCTAGCCTGTAGTGGGGTGCTCTATAGCGAGTACAACCCTTCTAGGGCTTTCTATTTGTATCCCCATTCTTGCTAGTGCAGTCCTCTTCTTTCTTCTAAAATTTTCACATGCTATCAGAGCAGGTCGATCCCCTTGGATCGATCCTGTGGGTGGGCTCACCACCTCGTTGCTTCCGCTGCAACTGCTACTGCTACTCTCTGTGCCGCACGCCCCATGGCGTGCGGCAGTTTTTTCTTCCCGCCGTGCGCCCCGAGGCGCACGGCGGTTTTCTGCCCGCCGTGCGCCCTGAGGCGCGCGGCGGTTTTATGCCCGCCGTGCGCCCCGAGGCGCGCGATGGGTTTCTGCCCCGTCACTCGGTGCGTCGCCCCCGGGAGGCGCTGCGACGGGCGACGGGGACCCGCGCGTCGCACCCGGTCGCCCTACCTACGGCCCCGGCCCCGTCGCCCTACCTATGCCCCGGCCCCGTCGCCCTGTCTGCGACCCCGGCCCCGTCACCCCACCTGCGACCCCGGTCCCGTCGCCATACCTGCGGCCCCGGCCCTAGGCCCGTCGCCCTACCTGCGCCCCGGCTCCGTCGCCCTACCTGCGACCCCGGCCCCGTCGCCCCACCTCCGACCCCGGCCCCGTCGCCCTACCTGCGCCCCGGCCCCACCGCCCTACCTGCGTACCGGCCCCGTCGCCCTACCTACGGCCCGGCCCCGTCGCCCTACCTACGGCACGTGCACCGCCCCCCCCCCCCCCCCCCTTTTCCCGTCGCCCGTCGCGGCTCCTTCGGGGGCCGCGACCTGGGGGGTGGCGGGTGTGTGGTCTCCCCTGCTCCTCCTCCTCCTCCGTCTCCCTGTGCTGCAGCTGTCGCTGAGGGGGGGTGGACGTGTTGGAGCCGGTGGAGTGGTACTATGGGGGGGTGAAGAGGGAGTGGAGCTAGCGGTGTAGCAGCGGGTGTGTGCCAGGGGGGAGTGGGATAGTTTGGGGAAGCTGAATGGAGGTTGCCGTCGTGTCGCCAGCAGCACTTGTATTCCGGGGAGTTGCTCCGGTAGCCCAGTCGTAGCCAGCTGTGCTAGCCGCCCGTGGGTCCGTTGCTCGTCTGCCGCTACTTTAGCCGCGGGGCCACTTACTCCAGTTTTCCGGAGCGTTGTTCCGGTAGCCGCTGTGCCAGTGTGCCTCCTGTTGCCCGTGTGCCTGCAGCTTCATCCGTCGCCTCCTATCTCCTCTCCTCTCACTCTCTCTCCTCCTCCTTACTTGCCCGTTGTGACTACCACTAGCTTTGCTCATAATTGTGAACTTTAAACTATTGCTTCTTGAACTTGTGCTCAGAATGTGTGGTAACATTGTGATCCACCCTGAGCTTGTACTGCTTTACTTGCTCTGCTGATTACACCCCACTTTGGCTATGGGGGTGTGTCAGAATGTTATCTTATGCTCTAGCCTGTAGTGGGGTGCTCTATAGCGAGTACAACCCTTCTAGGGTTTCCTATTTGTATCCCCATTCTTGCTAGTGCAGTCCTCTTCTTTCTTCTAAAATTTTCACAGTTCATGCAACCGCCCAGGCCAGAATCGCGCACGGTGGTGTGTTCTTACTGTACCAGTCACTTCTTGACTGGTTTGGTCATGTGTCTGTGCCTCATGTGAGAAAGTGATTTTCACCTTTTGGGCCACTTGCAGCGGAAAATTCGCCAGCGTGGCGACAGCGAGATTGTGGGAGGGGGGAAATCTTGGCAGATTTTAAGTGAAAGTACACGCGAAATTTCACCTAGGGAGCAATTCTCGCGATATCCTCCTGTAAGGAATCGGACTCGATAACAACTATAATAGGAATCTATAAGAAAAGGGGGGTGTTATAGAAAATCACCCCAAAAGGGGGGGTATAGTACAAACGGGGTCGGATATAACACCCACCCCGTATTAGCTACCCGGGGGTGTACAATTACGGGGGGGTGTTTTATCCGGGAGAATACGGTACATACTATACACACGCGTACCCCCCCCCCCCCCTTCCCCCCCTCCCGAATCGGTCAAGTCCGTTTCAGTGTGACTCACGACACTACACTGATTCGTCAGTGTTACTTCTACAGCAACACGGAAAATGGTCAGTGTGGCAAGGTAGTTTATACTGAAATTTCAGTGCAAAATTGAAGCATATGCTGAATTTCCAGGGAATACGAAAATCACAGCTACAAAATCAGCCTAATCAGCGTGTTTTACGCTGATATCTGAGGGCCTGCTCAGAAGATCCACAAGATAGCTCACCACCGACCAAATCTTGGCGACCGGCTTCACCCCATTCAACTACTCTCCACCGCGTGCCTCTTGACCAGCAGCACCTGCTGCTGCTCCCCCTGCTGCTCCTGCCGTCCCTCCTCCTTCCTCTCCTGCAGCTTCTCCTGCCCCGGCCCCCCCTCCTTCTCCTTCCATCCTCTCTCCACCACGAATCCCCTCTCATCCACTCGCCCTCTCTCCCTCATCCCTCTCTCCCTCAGTGCTCACCAGCAGGGTGAGAGGGTACCTTCCACTAGCGTTCCATTCTGTGAGGCATATTCCAGCGAGCACCAGCAGCGTTTTGAGTCGCCTCACCAGCAGGTTGAGAGGGCACCGTCCACTAGCATTGTACTCCTCCATCTCCGCTGCTGCTCCTCCTGCTCCTGCCCCCTCTCCTCCTCCTCCCATACCTTCTCCTTTCCCTTCCGCTCCACCGCTCCCCTCCTCTCCCTCATCCCCCTCGGTGCTCACCAGCAGGGTGAGAGGGGACCGTCCACTAGCATTGTACTCCTCCACCTCCGCTGCTGCTCGCTTGAAACCCGGGTGACTTTTGAGTCGACTCAAAAGTCTCTGCCTCATCCCCCACGGCGCTCACGAGCAGGGTGACAGGGTACCCGACCCGTCCACTAGCATAGTAGTCCTTAATATCCGCTGCTGCTCCTCCTGCTCCTGCCCCTTCTCCTCCTCCTCCCATACCTTCTCCTCCTTTCCCTTCTGATCCACTGCTCCCCTCCTCTCTCTCATCCCCCTCGGTGCTCACGAGCAGAGTGACAGACAGGGCACCTTCCTCTAGCATTGTACTCCTCAATCTCCGCTGCAGCTCGCTTGAAATCCGCCACTCCCGCCCATGGAAGATCCGCCCATGGAATCTTCATAACCTGGCCGCTAGCTGGCCTGCACTGTTTTTGAGGCGCCTCAAAGATCCGCCTCAATCTATGAGGAGCCTCAAAGATCCGCCTCAATCTATGAGGAGCCTCAAAGATCCGCCTCGATTCCCTCCATAACCTCGGCCACCAGCTGGTCTGCACTGCTTCTGAGGCACCTCAAAATCCGCCTCAAAATCTGCCTCAATCTTTGAGTCGCCTCAATCTATGAGGCGCCCTTCATAACCTTGCACACCAGCTGGTCTGCACCGTGGACACATGCTGTTGTCGAGAAGGGGATCGGGGTGGGTGGGGACAGAAAGGGGAGCGAGAGGAGGGAAGGAGCGGTTCTGTGCTTGAATAGCGGGTCTCCATCTGCGTTGCTGAACACATGCTGTTGCTGAACACATGTTGTTGCTGAACACATGCTGTTGCTGAACACATGCTGTTGCTGAACACATGCTGTTGCTGAACACATGCTGTTGCTGAACACATGCTGTTGCTGAACACATGCTGTTGCTGAACACATGCTGTTGCTGAACACATGCTTTTGCTGAACACATGTTGTTGCTGAACACATGCTGTTGCTGAACATATGCTTTTGCTGAACACATGCTGTTGCTGAACACATGCTGTTGCTGAACACATGCTGTTGCTGAACACATGCTGTTGCTGAACACATGCTGTTGCTGAACACATGCTGATGCTGATCACAGTACAGTCAAACATGCACAAGTAATCTAACTCTTATGAGCGGAAATAAGAAAATTCCCTACTCTATGCGGTAACCTCCAAGCAATAATAGCTCTCCGTGAAGAAAACACACCGTGTGACATTATACTGAGGTGACTTTTGAGTCGACTCAAAATGTTCCCCAGGCGAGAACGGTCAACCAGAGGGTTGAGCAACAGTTTCAGCACCAGGGGGCCACAGGTTGGAGAGTTGCGAATAGCAGAGGCACGCTGGAGAAGTTCCCCACGGCTAGCGAAAAGCACTGACTTAAAAATCGGAAGAAGAAACTTCTCCGGATACCCGCGTGCACGTAGTCGAGCAAAGAAAAGTGCGCGGGAATGCCACCCACCCAGTGCACTGTACTGTTTACTGTACTGTTTTCTATACGTCCCCCCACCACCCAGGCCCCGCGATGGAATGCCACGTGATGGAGCCCTAGGGGTTGGTATTTGATTTGACGTAGTTTGCTTGCTCATTTTCTCCTTGTGGTCTGAAGAAGGCTATATGCCGAAACCGGTTACCATCAATTTTTTCTTCACAAGGTCTACAAGCAAGCACCTTTTACACTTATATTTTTACCTAAAAAACATAGTTGCTGCCACATAAAGTCATGGCACCTAATTGGGGCCCACTCGATGCTGAACACATGCTGATGCTGAATATCCACTGCAGAAGCAGGAGAGGAGAGAGCAGGAGAGGGGAGAGCAGGAGAGGGGAGAGCAGGAGAGGGGAGAGCAGGAGAGGGGACAGCAGGATAGGGGAGAACCACCCACCATTGAGTCAGCTCCTGCTGCTCCTGAGTCAGCCGCCGTTTCAACCACTCAAACCTTAGTAATATCTCCCAACAAACGGATTTGATTACGACAGATGTCATTACAAACGGATGTGATTACAAACAGTACTCGATGGGATGAGCGCAAAGTTGACAAGGCCCTCCTGTGGTGCCGTGCCGGATTGTGGTGCTTGTGTTACTTCACACAATTCTCACGTAGACTCGGGATCTATAAATCTGTGCCACTTAGAGGAATTCTCATGGGTGACAACGACACTCAAGAGAAGACTACTGTAGTCGTTCGAGCCGACTCAAAATTCAGCTCAAGGAAGACCACTGTAGACGCTCCTCCCCACCTCACTGGCCTCCTCTCACCACCTCTCCCCTCATCCCCCCTCTCCCCTCATCCCCCCTCTCCCCTCATCCCCCCTCTCCCCTCATCCCCCCTCTCCCCTCATTCCCCCTCTCCCCTCATCCCCCTCTCCCCTCATCCCCCCTCTCCCCTCATCCCCCCTCTCCCCTCATCCCCCCTCTCCCCTCATCCCCCCTCTCCCCTCATCCCCCCTCTCCCCTCATCCCCCCTTTCCCCTCATCCCCCCTTTCCCCTCATCCCCCCTTTCCCCTCATCCCCCCTTTCCCCTCATCCCCCCTTTCCCCTCATCCCCCCTTTCCCCTCATCCCCCCTTTCCCCTCATCCCCCCTTTCCCCTCATCCCCTCAGTCACCTCGTGATCCTCGCCTCACCCCCCGCCCCCCTTAACCCCCCACTTTCCCCTCACCTCCACCTCGAATGTGCTCCTCTGCTCCCTTAGGCAATCACCCATCAGCTTCTCCTCCTTCTCCCGTACGAGCGCACGTGCTTTCGCCAGCACTGTAACAGTCAGAGGGAAGGGCAAGGGGGGAATGCAGCAGAGGCGGGGCAAGGGGGGAATGCAGCAGAGGCGGGGCAAGGGGGGAATGCAGCAGAGGGCGCCATTGGTTTGCGCATTACGCTTGCGCACCTCGGCACCTCCAAAGGCTGAGCATACGAGCGCACGTGCCTCCACCAGCGCTTCAACAGCCAGCGCTTCAACAGCCATTGGTTGGCGCGCGGAGCAACAAAGTCGAGTCGAGTTCTCCTCTCTCATGCGGATTTTGCTCTTGAGAATTCGGAGATGTCAAATCCGCGTGCATGCGAGCAGGCCTGGTTGGTGCAGAGCAACAAAGCCAACTTCTCCTCTCCCATGCGAGCAGGCCTGGTTGGTGCAGAGCAACAAAGCCAACTTCTCCTCTCCCATGCGAGCAGGCCTGGTTGGTGCAGAGCAACAAAGCCAACTTCTCCTCTCCCATGCGAGCATCCCAACCCTCACACCCTCGCTCATGAAGTAGAGGCAGGGCAAGGGAGGGAAGAATCAGAGGCGGGGCAAGGCCCTTGAGGGCAGGCGTGGTTGGTGCAGAGCAACAAAGTCGAGTTTCCCTCTCCCATGCAAGCATCACCAAACCTCACCCTCTCCCATGCGAGCATCACCAACCCTCACACCCTCTCCCATGCAAGCATCACGAACCCTCACACCCTCTACCATGCGAGCATCCCCAACCCAGAGCCTCCTCGTGTGATGAGCATGTATTTGACTCAACTCAAATACAGACGCATCACCACCCCTCACAGCCTCTCTCATGCGAGCATAACCAGAGCCTCCTCGTGGGATGAGCCTACTTTTGAGTCAACTCAAAAACAGACGCATCACCAACCCTCACTCACACCCCCTCTCCTGCCAGCATCCTCATAGCCTCTTCTCATGCTCCTCCCCTCGCCCATGCCTGCATCACCAACCCTCACTCCCTCTCCCTACCTTGCTGGTTACTTTGCTCGTCTGTACCCCTGAACACCTTTATCCACTCCTCCATATCGTTCAGCCACCGCTCTGTATCCTGCAGATACTCCACCCGGCGCTGCCCCCGCATTGGCCTCTGCTGCTGCTGCTCCTGCTGCTGCTCCACCGCTTCCGGTACATTAAATCTCTGATGAGAAGAAAAATGGAGAGGTGCGGAGAGGAGAGGTGCGGAGAGGAGACATGAGAGGAGAGAAGAGGGGGAGAAGAGGGGAGAGAGGAGAAGAGAAAGGAGAGGAGAGGAGTGGCGAGGAGAGAGGAGGAGAGAGGAGAGGGGAGGAGAGGAGAGGAAAGGACAGGAGAGAACAAAGAGGAGAGGAGTGGCAAAGAGACAAACTCATTGCAACTCCTCTTCCACCCTCAACACCTGTTCCCACGAGCACACCATTCCGACTGTTTCCAATATTCGCGTTCCCTTCCCCCACCCTCTCAACGACTCCCTTCCCCCACCCTCTCAACAACTCCCTTCCCCCACCCTCTCAACGACTCCCTTCCCCCACCAACCGTGGGCCACTCACCACTCGTCTCTGACGCTTCAGCTGCCTTGTCAAATCCTCCGGTCTTTGTATTGTCTGCCATAACGGAAATGATTATAAAGGGACAAACACGGTGCACAAAGCAGGAGTAGCGTGTCAGAGGGATCGAGCCTGACTCATGTTTTCAAAGGGCTGCAGTAGTAGAGAGGACGCTTAAGCAAAGGAACAACAGTAAAAGCAGGAGTAGCGTGTCAGAGGGATCGAGCCTGACAAAGGTGACAAGGGGCTAACATGGGAGACAAGGGCCTAACATGGGAGACAAGGGGCTAACATGGGAGACAAGGGGCTAACATGGGAGACAAGGGGCTAACATGGGAGACAAGGGGCTAACATGGGAGACAAGGGGCTAACATGGGAGACAAGGGGCTAACATGGGAGACAAGGGGCTAACATGGGAGACAAGGGGCTAACATGGGAGACAAGGGGCTAACATGGGAGACAAGGGGCTAACATGGGAGACAAGGGGCTAACATGGGAGACAAGGGGCTAACATGGGAGACAAGGGGCTAACATGGGAGACAAGGGGCTAACATGGGAGACAAGGGGCTAACATGGGAGACAAGGGGCTAACATGGGAGACAAGGGGCTAACATGGGAGACAAGGGGCTAACATGGGAGACAAGGGGCTAACATGGGAGACAAGGGGCTAACATGGGAGACAAGGGGCTAACATGGGAGACAAGGGGCTAACATGGGAGACAAGGGCCTAACATGGGAGACAAGGGGCTAACATGGGAGACAAGGGGCTAACATGGGAGACAAGGGCCTAACATGGTGCCATTCAGTAGTGCATGGATACTACTGTCGCAACAGGTGACTGAAGAAGTGTTTTGAGACGTCTCAAAACACTTCTTCAATCACGTGGGTGACAAGGGGCTAACATGGTGCTATTCAGTAGTGCATGGGTACTACTGTCACAGGTGGCAACAACGCTAAAATAAAGACTACTGTAGATGCTCCTCCCCACCTCATTGGCCTCCTCTCACCACCTCTCTCCTCTCACCACCTCTCTCCTCTCACCACCTCTCTCCTCTCTCCCGCCTTCTCCCTCCGCTCTTCCCTCACACCCCATCTCCCCTCAATCTCTTACTCCTCCCCTCCAGCTGATGTTGCAGCCCCTCTACCTCTACGTCCACACACCACACCTCTCGCTCCTCTGCTCCACTCTACCTCTCCTTCCACACACCACACCTCTCGCTCCTCTGCTCCACTCTACCTCTCCTTCCACACACCACACCTCTCGCTCCTCTGCTCCACTCTACCTCTCCTTCCACACACCACACCTCTCGCTCCTCTGCTCCACTCTACCTCTCCTTCCACACACCACACCTCTCGCTCCTCTGCTCCACTCTACCTCTCCTTCCACACACCACACCTCTCGCTCCTCTGCTCCACTCTACCTCTCCTTCCACACACCACACCTCTCGCTCCTCTGCTCCACTCTACCTCTCCTTCCACACACCACACCTCTCGCTCCTCTGCTCCACTCTACCTCTCCTTCCACACACCACACCTCTCGCTCCTCTGCTCCACTCTACCTCTCCTTCCACACACCACACCTCTCGCTCCTCTGCTCCACTCTACCTCTCCTTCCACACACCACACCTCTCGCTCCTCTGCTCCACTCTACCTCTCCTTCCACACACCACACCTCTCGCTCCTCTGCTCCACTCTACCTCTCCTTCCACACACCACACCTCTGCCTTTGCCTCTCGCATGCAATCGCACATCTGCCTCTCTCCTGAACCCTCAACCCCCCTTTCCCCCTCATCTCCCCCTCAACCATCAACCCCCCTTTCCCCCTCATCTCCCCCTCAACCCTCAACCCCCCTTTCCCCCTCATCTCCCCCTCAACCCTCAACCCCCCTTTCCCCCTCATCTCCCCCTCAACCATCAACCCCCGTCACCCCGAACGTAAGGTCCCCCCTCACCAGTGCTGAACTCAACCCTCAACCCCCCTCACCCCTCGCTCACCTCCCCCTCGCCCCTCCCCTTCCCTCAACCTCCCACTCCTCACCAGTGCTGAACTCAACCCTCAACCCCCCTCACCCCTCGCTCACCTTCCCCTCGCCCCTCCCCTCCCCTCAACCTCCCACTCCTCACCTCCTGCTCGTGAACGCTCCTCTCCTGCTGCATGCCACCCCTCGCCAACGAAAAGTCTGCAGGGAGTGATTTCAATTTTAACAAAATTCTCAAAAGTGATCTCAATAAGCTCCGCTCCTGCTGCATGCCACCCCTCTTCAATAAAAAGTGTCCGAGCTGGAAGAAAATATTCGTGAACGCTCCTCTCCTGCTGCATGCCACCCCTCGTCAACGAAAAGTCTGCAGGGAGTGATTTAAATTTTAACAAAATTCTCAAAAGTGATTTCAATAAGCTCCTCTCCTGCTGCATGCCACCCCTCGTCAACGAAAAGTCTGCAGGGAGTGATTTCAATTTTAACAAAATTCTCAAAAGTGATCTCAATAAGCTCCTCTCCTGCTGCATGCCACCCCTCTTCAACAAAAAGTGTCCGAGCTGGAATAAAATATTCGTGAGCTCTCCTCTCCTGCTGCATGCCACCCGCCTTCAACAAAAAGTCTGCAGGAAGTTTTTGAGAATTCTCAAAAAGCAAAGGCGGGGCAAGGGAGGAAAGCAGCAGAGGCGGGGCATGAGCATGGGTCATATGATCATATGCATATGTGCATGAGCATCGGTCATATGATCATCGACAACCCCCAAAGGCCCTCGCTTGCGCACCTCGCTCGCTCAAGGAAGGGCCCTTCACAGCCCATCTGTCCAGGATTTCGTTCACCTTCTCCCGCCACTTCCACTCCTGTTCCCGGTATTCTTTCACCTTCTCCCGCGCCATCCGCTCCTCTTCCAGGAATTTTTCCTACTTCTCGTTAACATTCTTTACACGATCCGACA